AATAACAGCAATCAAGTTCAGCAGAGCATTTGTTTGCAAACAGCTACTGAAGTTGCCCCTGGTGAAATGGGTGTAAGTAGTACAAATAATGGGGAAGAAATCTTCAATGCAGAAACTGCTCAGGCCCGGGATGGAATTAGTTTTGGTGTTAGTGGGGGGAGTGTTGGGATCTGTGCAAGTCATGAAGCTGAAATTCATGGGGCAGATATATCTGTACATAGAACAGCTAGTGTTGTTGGTGATGTGGAACCTAGAGCAGAAGATGTTGAAAACCAGGGTCAAACTGGTGAATCTAGTCTGGATCCTGGTCTAATGGATGAGATTGTCCCTGATATGAACAGGGAAGATCCCAATGGTGATAATCAAGAGATGTTGTCTCACTCTGCAGCCAGGACAGATAGTGGATCAAAAATTGGTTGTACTACAAAGGCTGAATCTGTTGAAAGTGGTGAAAAAATTAGTCAAGATTGCAATATCCCCCCTGCAAACAGTAGGCATCCATCCCGTTCTTGCAATGTTATTGTGAATTCTGGTTGTGGACATGCTAAGGAAGAGATCGTGAAGGATGGTAAATCATCTTTTACCAACAATTGTTCTCGTCTTGAGTCAGATTTTGCTAATGCCAGTGGGATTGGTAAGTTCTTTCTCAACGATCTTGAAAATGTATTACATCTGCCCCTTTTCACCTCGATGTTTCAAATGCATGGATCCCTTGATGCTTGAAATGGGTGTCTTTAAGTTCATCTTTCTGCCTCTTTCATATCCTTCTTTAGCTGTATTCCATCCTCCAACTTCTATTGGGAGAAAAAAGCAGGATGTGGATATTTGGTATCAGTAAGTATTAACGAAACTTTTCTAAACAAGTCCAAATTGATAATGATTTAGGGAATAACTTTAGGGTAATGTTAGTATCAACTAATTGTTTAAGCCTTTTGCCATCTTCCTATTGTAATTATTTTAGTAGTATTAGAATATGGAATTAATTTGTCTTTCTTCATTGTTTACTTAGACCATATAAGTTACAAATTGGTTGTTTCTCAAGATCCACAAACTTCTCTCTACTGTAAATATAAGTGACACAAGCGTCCATTGATACAAGTGCATGCGCTCTCTCTACATCAAATACATTGAAGGGGCATCTTTACTGGGAAATATATCAAATCACCTTTTAGTTATCTGTCAGGCATCTAGAAAATTGCAGATTTGCACCCTTATTATCAGGATATAAATGAGTAGTGCCAAGGTCCTTCTACACTTCATTCATTAATTCCTGAGTGTGTTGGGACCACAGCAACTTACATTGTTCAATTATTTAGGCCCTCCAAAAGGTGAAAGTAATTATGAGGAAGCTCCAGAATTTGATCCTATTGTCTATCACAACCAATATTGCCCTTGGGTTAACGGAAATGTTGCTGCTGCTGGGTGTGCTAGCTCTAATCCAAGCACCAGCGCTGATGCCATTGCACTCTGTGGTTGGCAGCTGACATTAGATGCTTTGGATGCTTTCCGATCCCTGGGGCTTAATGCAATTCAGACAGTACCATCTGAGTCTGCTGCATCTTTGTACAAGGTGTGTTTATCTACTTTCATCAATTGCTTTCCGTTTATCACCCTTCCTGCGTGTAATTTTTGTTCAAGTAAATGCCCAACTTTGGATTATATAATCAAAATATAATTCTTTTTTCTCTATGATCTGTTTTATTCATTGTTAGGTAAAATGCTTTTTTATTTATAGATATGGTATTAGATATATAGTAACATAGTTTTTTAAACATGTTGCCTTTAATTTGTAACAGAAAACGTGTAGGCTACTTGGGTTATCATTGTGGCTTTTAATTTCTAAGGAGAAAAAACGCATCAACCAATACATGCATTTCATTTTTGTTTCCTTTACCTGGGAAGGGTTGATTGCTTGAAAGTTCAAACCTTTATGGTATGGATGTGACTGAAAAGTTTAAGATAAAATGATGGTGAATGGAAGGCATGTACACATGTAGAGCTCTCATCAATTGTGGCAGCTCCCTCTTCTTTCATTTATTATAATTGAAAATAGAGTAACCCCATGATATATTCTTAAAAGAAAAATGATGCACTAATTCATCTTCATTTTAGGAACACAAGAACTATTGACCAGGAGTGTTTAGTCAATCTTTTATATCGTGTTTAATGGTTTTAATGTTTTATTTATAAATTTTCCTATCATAACTTGGGTCCCTGTAATGGTTTTATCATGCTTAATGATAAATTTCGATTGCTGATCATGTAGGATGATCAGCAAGTTCCTGGTCAAAAGCTCCTTCGACGCCCTTCTATGAGCAGGAGTCATGGGCAACTCTGAGATTTCAGTCAAAGTGTTTAGTGTTTCCATTTGCTTGTAAGTTTGATTATGTTATATCTAATTAGTCATATGCAAGTCATTTGCCTATAGTAATCTTTGCCTGACAAATCTTAGGGGCAGTTTTAAAGTGTTTGTCATTAAGTTCTCCTTTAAAAAGTGGATGCTTTTTACGCGTAAGAAACTTCTCTGGCCCAAAAAATAATCTGAGCACCTTTATGCAAGTTTTGTGCGTTTTTGGCTGCAAACTTGTATTGCACTTTATTATGTCTACCAACTATTGGTGTCCTAATTTTCAGTAGGATGTTACTATATACACATTAAAGTTTCACTAAGCTGCTGTTTGATGAAGTTGTGCTGACTTCTTGCTAATATTCTCCTTTTTATTCCCAATATGCATGCAGATGTCATGAGTTATATGGTTCAGCGACTTGGATAAATTCTTGTGTTTATATCTGTAGGGCCAATGATGGACAAGGCTGAATAGTTTTTATTAAGCAATATCTATATGCTTCAAAGTCCTGTATTATTAGTCAAGACGTGAGAGTAATGAACTGTAAATTATGAGAGATTTTCATAATTCAAAGTCTGAGATTTTCATGTGGGAAATGTTCAATAAATTATTGTTTCATAAATCTCATATAGCTTTTGGTTTTGACTCTTGTAGTATATATGAATTGTATCATGGTGAGTTGTTGAGCCATTTGGTAAGGCATGGGAATTTCTCTAGAGCACTTGACCTGTCTGATAGATGTTAAAAAATAGAGTTTGGGGAAAAGATTCTTTCCCCGGTAGTTGCCCCTGGTCCATTCTAGTGTAGCGTGTATAAAAGTCTAATAAAGTGTTACTCTCTCCTTTAAAAAATTAAAATATTTTTAATTAAATTTTATCCCTCAATAAAGTAATTATTTACTTTCAAACTAACCCTATCTTTCTTTATTTATCCCTATTAAATATTCTATAATAAATATAAAGTGATTCATCAATAGAGGCACTTTTTAAAAAAAGATAATAATTACACTTTAAAAAATTAAAAATGTTTTATATTTTTTAACATCTAATTTTTTAAAAAGTGCATTACATTTTTAAATGGAAGGGGTAAATATTTTGTATGATAAAACTTAGAAAAAAACATGCGTTGAGGGAAGAATCAAAAGAGAATTATGCAATTCTTGAGAGTTACTCATTCTGTTAAAAAATGTAAGGTATTTTTAATTGAATTTTACTCTCTTAATAAAGTAGTTATTTAATTTCAAACTAATATTATTTTTTCATATTTATCTTTACTAAATATCCTATAATAAATGTAAAGTCATTACTAATAGGGATATTTTTTTAAAAAAAGTAAAGATTACATTTCAAAAGGTTAAAAATGTCTTACATTTTTGTACATTTAACTCCTCAAAAAATGTTTTACATTTTTTAACAGAAGGAGTATGTAATTTTTTTTATTTCAAATGAGATTTATTTAAGTTTTTAAAACTATTAAGATTGATTTTTGTAATTAAATTAAAATAGAGAGGAGTTTTATAATAAGTGATGTTTTAAATTGAGAAGTTAAAAATTCACAATCAAATGAAAATATGGTAAAGATTAGCTTATCTTTGAGTCAATCAATTTAAACGATTTTGAGAAATTTATACCTAAAGATTAAAATTGAGGAATATACTAAATAATTGAAACTTACAACGAGTCCTCAATACTAAAATCTACTATCAAATTTTAAGAATTTATTACTAAATTTTAGCAAAATTTCATTGAATTCAGAAATTTTTGTTTGTATCCTTAAACTTGAATAATATTTTTAATTTTTAGATACCATTAAAATTTTATTTTTATTAAATCTGAGTCTTTAATATTTTTTATATGGAAAAATATAACAATGAAATAACCATTTTTCCATATAAAAGTATGATGACGAAATAAACTAAAGGGGCAGGTAAAACTAAAAACTTAAATGAGCAAATTATCCTAAATTTTAGGTCAAATAATACTATAAATTTTGAACTTATTTATTATAAAAATTATTCTCTCAACTTTTGATAAAAGAAATTTAAAATTTTTAAAAAGGATAAAAAAATTACAATAAAACCTGAAATTCAAGAATTCAAAAAATTATAGGAAATGATCAAAAAGTTTTTCCTCTTTTTCTATAATTTTTTTATTTTTTTAATATTTATCAATATGAATAATTAAATTGTATTATTTTTAAAAATTAAAAAATAATTTATATAATAAATAAGCTCATGGGATAAATTACTTAATTACATTAACTACAAGACAAGGAAATACTTCTTAAGTTAAAAAATATAAGATATTTTTTTAGAGATTAGATGTTAAAAAATGTAAAATATTTTTAATTTTTCGAGGTGTAATCATTGCCTTTTTTTAAAAGTGCCCTATTGATAATGATTTTATATTTATTATAAAGTGTTTGATAGAGATAAATATAAAAAATAAAATTAATTTAAAAATTAATAACTATTTTATTAAAAAATAAATTTTAATTAAAAATATTTTATATTTTTAGAGGGACTAAGAAGATAACTAAAGGAGTAGCGGAGAACCGTGTTCAATCTGTGGAATCCATTTTCAGCCAATCAAATTCAGACAAATCCCCACGTGTCATCCCACAACATTGCAACATCTCGACGATAACTTACATGACCAGAAGATGTACACAACGCTCACTCACACAGTCACACACTATCTCTCCGGTCTCAGTCTCCGCCATGGCTCCCGCCGGAGCCACTTCCCTTCACTCTTCCCTCTGCAGCTTCTCTTCTCACAAACCGTCGCCTCCAAATTCCCAGCAGCCAAACACCCAATTGGGTCCCAAACCCAAAAGCCTCCTCCAAAAGCACCCACTCTATACTCCAACCCACACCAGACTCTCCCTTGAATTCAAAGAGAAAATTCTCTGCCTTGAAATTATGGGTGTTGATTCAGGCAAGGCCCTTTCAGTAAACCCTGATCTCAGAACTGCCACTATGGAATCCATCCATTCCATCATCTCCTTCCTTCACTCCAAAGGCATCCAACAGAATGACTTGCCCAGAATTCTGGGCATGTGCCCTAAGATTCTCACCTCCAGCATCAAATCTGAGCTTAGCCCAGTTTTTGATTTTCTCTCCCACGAACTTCAAGTCCCAGATCGCAGCTTCAGAAAGGTCATTAACAAATGCCCAAGATTGCTCACTTCAAGTGTCAAAGACCAGCTCAAGCCAGCTTTGTTCTACCTTCAGAGGCTAGGGTTCAAGGATTTGTTAGCCCTGGCTTATCAAGATTCTGTCTTGCTGGTTTCTAATGTGGAAAGGACTCTAATTCCTAAACTGAAGTTCTTGGAGAATCTGGGTTTTTCAAAGGAAGAAACTAAAGATATGGTCCTGAGGTGTCCTGCATTGTTGACCTTCAGCATTGACAATAACTTTCAGCCCAAGTTTGAGTATTTTTCTGGGGAAATGGGAAGAAAGCTGGAGGAGCTGAAAGAGTTTCCTCAGTATTTTGCTTTTAGCTTGGAAAACAGGATAAAGCCTAGGCATATGGAGGTTGTGCAAAGTGGGATCAATATGCCTTTGTCTTTGATGCTTAAGAGCACTGACGATGAGTTTAGGGAGCTCATGAAGCAGAAAACTGAATGATTGTGGTGAGATCAGAGCTGATGTATTATCACTGAACAAAGTCTTTAATCATTAAAGGATGGTAACTTGGTAAGTGTATGTGTATATGAGAGGTGAGGTGATGTCACTAAAAGTTGTGTTAATAACTTGATATATCTATATATTTCTTTCTCCTTGGTTTGCTCACTTGTCTTTGATAAATCTCAGAAATTTTTGCTTTATATGGCATGCTCTATAACTGCAAGTGTATATGAATGAGTGCTGTCCGAATGATGTTGTGAATCTTGAAGCAGAGTCCCTGAATTTTAGTCAATTTTCTATTTTAAATCTTTGGCTGCCCTTTGTTATTTTGAACCCTTGGATTATCAACCTCATCAGTGTTGTTATATAGTAAGAGAGAATATGATATATACAGTATGTGTATATGATATGTACAGGTGTTACTTCCCCTCTTTACACACACTATTTTCTCTTTCTTACAAGACTGCATACAATGATTTATATAATGAGACTTGATCCCAAAAGTTTAATTTAATGATAGTTAGCTGTTGAAAAATTTCACTAAAAAATGAGTTGCAAATATTAATTTTAACATGTTGCAAATGTTTGTCCAAAAAAACATGTTGCAAATGAAATATTCATGAGTAACTCCTAGTAATTTGAAAATAAGACTTCATATTCGTTACTCATTTTTTTAGCAACATTTTTTTTTTTTGAGAACTAGCTGTAATTAAATTGAACTTTTAGGATTTAATTGTCATTTTCTATTTATATACATACAGTGGAGAATAGAAACTCCTTGTTCTGTGGTTGTTCATTTTGATATTAAGAAAAAGCAAGGGAAGATTAATGCAAAGCAAAAGGTACTTTTAAGTTCATAGTTTTTAATCAAGCTTGTAAATTCATTAAAATAAAATAGGAAAAATTAATCTTTTAGTCCTTCAACTTTTAACTCACTTGTAACTCAATCCCTCAATTATGACTCGCTGCGACTCAGTCCTTCAACTATAACTCGCCGTAACTCAGTCCCTCAACTTTTGATTTACCTATAACTCGGTCCTTATTTTTAAATTTTTTTTAAATTTTTTTTTCAAATAAGAGGGGTAAAAAAATGCTCATATATTATTTTAAAATACCCTCTTCTTATTCATTAATGTGAGATAGAAGTTAACATAAAAAAAAATTAACAAAAGTTAAGGAACTAATTTGTAAGTGATTCAAAAGTTGAGGGATTGAGTCATAGGTAAGTTACAGTTGAGGGATTGAGTCATAGCGAGTCATAGTTGAGGGACTGAGTTACAAGTGACTTAAAAGTTGGAGGATTAAAAGATTAATTTTCCCAATAAAATATAATGACCTCTCTTCCTTTTTATTAAAATTACGGAGACATTCTCTTTATTTTTAAAACATATACTTTAGTCTAATTCTTAACACTATTAAGAATATTCTGTTAAAAGTTTTAAAATATTTATTTTTTTTTTGTAATTAGGATAAAGATTTTAAAATTATTAATTTATCCTTATGATCTAATTGTCTACCCTCTCTTCCAACTTAAAAAAAATTAAATAATTAAGATTGTCAATATTTAAATAAATAATTTAAAATTTTTGTGTAAAAATTAATGAAATTAAAAATAAACATAAATTATTGAGTAATTTATTATATTAAATTCTTATTTCATAGGTTTTTTGACAAAAATATTTTTAAAATTTTTTGAATTGCATGTTTGAATATTATTTTAGCCCATCTTTGTATTTAATTTTTTAAAAAAATTACTAAATAAATACATTTACATAATTTGAATGATTTTTAGACAACAGATATTTAAAGAAGAGTATTTTGATCAAACATGTATAAACCCACAGTTGGGTCGATAGGAGTAAAATATTAAAAATAAAAGGAATATTTATGTTTTGTCACTATTTATACTAAAAAAGGTTTATATAGGTTTAAAAAGTAAAACGAAAGTATGTATAATTAAGATAAAATAGATAGAAAAATCAAAGTATTTTACTCAATTCACCGTCAAGGATCCATTAGCAGTTAGCAGAAAATTGTGAAAATTTTTAGACCTTCTACAAAGAAAATTCTATCCTGTCATGTTGTAGTTTGGTAATCACGTTACTGGTTTGTGTCTATTAGCTTCTCCTTCATTCATCAATAAGTTTTTAGAGAGTGCTCCTCTCATCCTATTTATAAATTATTTTTAATATTTTTATCAAAATCAAGAAATATTTTAAAATTAATTGAATTTACTCATATTAAATATGCATATTTCAACAACATTTTCTCTTTCCAATATTTAATATAAGGAGAAGAAAAAATTTGTGATAAAATTTAAAAATGCAACTTGTTAGTAAGATCGAAAAAAAAATTCCCTATATCTTATAAATAAAACCCAAGGTGTAAGTGGGACTATGGGAGCGTTTGCTGTGACGAAACCAAGTGCCATAGCAATACGACACAAGACAATCATCAATGTTAATATAAAATATAAAACTCATACCATGTTACATTATTCACAAACATGTCCAGACATTTATCACAGTAAAATAAAGTGATTTTTATTGAAAAACAAATTTATCCGTTAGCGTGCAGAATCATGCTTACTAAGCGGAGCTACCGCTGTCAAAAAGGGCACAAAAAATAGAACGTGCTTTCAGAAAATTCAAATATAAATGAAACATGTTTAAAGAGTCCAAATTAAGAAACAATATTTAAGGATACAAATAAATAAACTAATTTCTTGTTTCCATGTCACAGCATACAGGTCAAGCATTAAAAGTGAAAAGGCAATCAAATACCTTCTTAACTACTTTCAAAATATTACTTACAAGAGCCTCAAACAACTTATGATACAAACATAGCCAAACAAAACAGTAGACCAAGCTGTCAACTATTTGTACAAAGTAGCTTCTATCTTCATTTTTTGTGTATTATTTTCTGCGAGTTAACAAACACTTCCGTCATTTAAAGCTTCTATGTCGTATATATACCTTGGGTGTTTGTTCCCGTCTTGATATCCTCAGGAATCAGGGTCATCCGCTGGTCAAAAAGAAACGTCTTCAGAAACGAATGCAGCCCATGCATCCTGCAATGAACAAACAAGACCCAAACTAACTACTAGAATTCATCTTTCAATTGAATCAGAAACTTGATGGGACAACTTTGTGATTTATAGGAAAAAGTTAACAGAAGATGAGAAGACTCCATTGGATCCTCTAAGAATAAATGTAACAATTAATTCGATACTGTCTTATTTTAGTACATGAGAGTATAGTTTCATTCCAATTTTACTCTTCTGAAGGTGAAAAGATGCTAAACATACTTTCCAAAATCAGATATGCTATGTAGTTGGAACAAAATTACACTCTCGAGTAGCAAAAAGATCCTGAATAATGATATCACCTTTAGATGATCAACCAAGCTTTTGTATAACAAAGTTAGATACCTGAAGAATGGAGAAAGCCTTCTCTGCTATGTATTTTTGGGTCTGGGTTGCTCCTCGCTGCTGAAGTTTGTCCGGGTGGAGACATAATCTTGCTTTTTGATAAGACTTCTTCACCTGTGAGCTTTCTATCAGGTTCATGAGAGGAATAGCGTACCAGCCACTCTCGGGCCACAGAATCTAGAAATGAAAACACACAACCACGTCAATATTCTGTGATCTGCAAGCCTTGAGGTCCTAAATGCAAGAAAAATTTATGGACAAAATTTTATAAGCAGTTCTTTTTGAGTTTGTTGTTAAGCTCTTCCCCAGGATTTTGACGTGTAGAGAAACTTTGACTGAATCAATGATTTACTAAAAATGTCAAAATGTCATCCTTTTATTCAAGAACTTAGTAGCAAATTCCTGAAAAGTGGGACTCTTTTTCTCCCTTAACATAACATTTAATTAATTGAATGTGAAATATAATAAGAAGTTAGCGTAAAAGAAGTCCTACGTAATGTAATGTTGAAAGCAGTAGCCGGATGTCAGTTTCCTTGCCTGATGACCACAATCTTATATCTCTATCTAACTTCTCTGTTTCCATCTGTAGTTTCTGTCATAATAGCAGAACAATCAATCCAAAATCTTTATACTCAAAAAATGGAAATAGGAGGAACATCCAGAAATGAAGTATTGACACTACCAAGGATGGAAGTTTCTTCAACTTCATGACATGGAATATTTTATTTATGGTTATAAAGCACATTCACCCTCTTCAATATTTTACTCATTTCTAATTCCGCACTTAGTATTTTATTTTTCCAAAAATTATCATCTAATTACACTTAAAGTTACTATATAGAACGCCTTATAGTATAGAACAATCCAAAAGACAAGATGGCAAGCGGGGAAAATAAAATAAATTGAAGTTAAGTATTTGTTAATGTACAATACTCGGTTACAGTTTACAAGTGAAGATCCTATTTCAAGCCTTGTAGATCATTAAATCTTAGCAAGTTTTGTATCAGCAATATGACGCTCGCTCACTTCGCTAATACACTGAATTACCTTTGGAGATTGAACTGCTCCGGTTCCTTCATCATGGTAATCACTTGCATCAGGTTGATCATCTTTTCTTCCAGCACCCTGCACATCGCCATTATTTCTCATGCTTGAATCTTCATCAGAACTTCGTGTTTGAAACTTCTCTTTGGCCCATGCAATTGCTTCATCAATGGCAGCAGATCCACTATCTTCCTCCTTTGGGTTGGGGTTGACCTCTATGACATAAGAGCTCAAAACTTCATCGTCGTCAATATCATCATCATCATCATCATCCTGTTCTATAATTTGTTCTGGATGCACGTAATGCTGAAATGCGGATTTCGCCACCTCAGGTTCTTGACAAAGTGAAGAGACAGCTGAAAATGGTGAATTGGGCTCCCAGTCATCAACGGATACTTTGATACTCTGATATGAATTGGTTTCAAGACTAATGGTTTCTGGGGATGACACTCCTCTTAAGAATCCTAAATGAGAACTTCTGAAGTTCTCCTTATACTCATTATCCTGATACTGAATTTCGAATAGTTGACCATTACTGGGAAAAATTGGCCTCCCTTCTTTATTCAAGTGTTCCTCAGGCATCGTGGTGAATGAGTTCCATCTACATGGGACATTAATAGGCCTGTAATAATCAGTAAGAAGCAGCCTCAGGACTCAAATTACTGACTAGCATCAAGCAGTTAAATATTTGCCTCAAATGATTTGCTAATGCACAAAACCTAAATACCATGCAGCTTCTTTGGTTTTTTGAAAATTTTGAACTCAGTACTACATTATTTAGTCTTTTCAAACAAGTTCCCCACAAACCGCATGCAAGTTTTCTCCAACGCCAAAAGTGGAAGAGGGAAGCTAGAGGCTACCTCATCAGGTGACTTCTTAGCAAAAGCTGCTTTTCCAACAACTCCTTTTGTCCCTTAGGTTAAATTGCCTATTTACTAGTTTATTCCACATTGCATCATTGTTAAATCAAAGAGATTGCTTAGAATTATTTTTCCATATAAAATCTCCAAATTCACAGCTAGCGCTAAGAATGCCTGAACTTCAAGGTTCAAATGGAAATTTCAGTTTCAAGATTGCTTAGAAGTGAAATCCTTCCCAGCTAGATAGTTAAAATGCACACGGATAATATTTCTGCGGATAAACCTATTCACTAGGGGCATAAATGTCAATTAACGTGTAACAGAATGATCAGTGGTTTACTGCTGTACAAGACCAGTCCCAGTAACAATACCTGAGCTTCGAAGCGAAGACAGACAATGCCACGTCATCGCCGATCGCCGGGCGGGCTGGGCTTAGCTCCTCCGAACTCAGTACCGAGGACGAGTTCGACTTTGCCTTCGAGTGCGATCCTGATCTTTCTCGCGATTTCCGGTCATCGTCCGACCCGAAGATGTCGCTGTAGAATCCCTCGTTCTTCGTCGGGATCCTGAAGACCGGCAGGTTTCTTCCACCTTTCGTTGCCGGAGACACAAACTCCGGTGGCCGGAAAATCTCCTCGTAGAATGAACTGGACCTCGAGAATTTGTGTGCCAGGAGGCTTCTCGGCGGACCTCCGAAGACGTCGGCGAAGTCTTCCGGGTCTAAGTTTTCCGATTCGCATCCGCTACGACCTCCGGCGAAGATGGATCGCCTAGAACGGGAAGACGACCTATCCTCCATGGACCGCCGTCGAGGGAGACCCTGCATTAATCCCATGCGCATCCGCCATGATTCGTCCATTTGCGTCAAGACTCCTCCGTCCAAGCTCCGGTGACTGACCGGAAAATTAAGTGAGCAACACAGAGTACAAGCTTGGGCTTACTTCATATATAGACACAGTTGAAAATCATAAATCAAGGGCAAAATAAATAATAAAAAATATTTAGACCAAGAGATTCGTGAAAAAGCAATTGATTGACTTTTACTCCTCTCCTCATCCACCATCTAAGCACATAAACTTTAACTAACAACTTCATTTTGTTTTGAAAATTTTCAAAGATTAAGATATCAAAGTAACATTATCATACATCACAAACATTATAGTTTATTCATCCAATTCTATACAATTGAGAAAATACATCAAATTGAATGTAAGTAGATTGAAACATGTGGTGAGATTTTAGGATTATTAATTGATCTTGGGGTTAATTAATGAGAAAGGAAAATGGGATGTGGGATAATTGCAATGAGTTATGCTTACCTGTAAAGAAGGTAAACGATAGGGAGAAAGTGGGGAGGAACACAATGATGAAAGGTATGTTTTCTTTTGCCAGCTTTTGATTTTCTTTTTGGGGGTGGGGGCAAGTGTTCCTGTTCTGTGTCTTCTCTTTTGGTTGTCTTCATGCTCTTCTTCTGATAAATTCATGATTCTGTATTCTGCTGTGAACCCTCTTCATCTTCATCTTGGGACTAGTGAATGAGGCAAAATTTCATTCATTTCTTAACAGTAAGAATTACTAGTAGTTAATATTGAGATCGGATCTAAAAGAGATAATTTTTCATAAAATGATAAATCAACATTTTAATATCTTGCTATAAAATATGCTCATATTTAATTTTTGAATATGCTCAAATAAAATTATTTTTAATAAAAGAATACATGTACACAATGAAAAAAAAAATTACTTATAAATTACATGATCCAAGGATTTCTCCAATCAATATACTATCTTTATTTACCAAAAGTCAATGATCTCAATTAAAGAAACTATCACAGGTTAATCACAAAATTTTATGTTTAAATTCATATGAATGCAAAGAAGTACTTTTTTTTAAAGTTCAATTCAACTGGAATCCAAATTAGTTGTTGTTCAATGTACTCCAAATTAGTTGTCTCAATTGTTTTTTAAGGTTTTAGCTTTCAGCACAAGGATTAAAAAAAGATGATCAAGAATTTTTTGAGTAATGTAATTTTACTAAATCATTTTTAATAAAAAGGTTAAGCCTAGTTTACATTATAAATCTATCATAACTTGAAATGGACTATAGGATGGGAGTCTCCTGACACAATGGAAGTCTCCAATGATTGCTTCTAAATAGGAAAAATGTATGGAAGTAAGAGAATTCAAGATGAGGGGAAAGAAAGTGAGGGGAAAAATTAAAAAAGTTGAGGTGAGGGGAAGGAGAGGGTGAGGGTGAGGGTGAGGGAAAGGATGATGGATACCCAAAAAGGGGACATTGCATGCATTCAATTGATATGGAATCACAATTCTATCCTACTCTCATGCCCCTCTCTCTCTCTAACTATTTTGGTTAGAGAGCATAATCAATGCTTAGTTCAGTTGAAAGTATCATCATTAACCAGAGAGGCATATGCTCTTTGCTTTATCTTTATTTTTCTTCCTCTTTTTGTGTTTGTGAGTGTCCTGTTAGGCTGTTCATCTCAATAATTTGCACAACTAGAAACATAAACTTGTGGCGCACAGAACCAGAAATTCCATTATTGCTCAAGATGTATTAACACTTATCTGTTTTTTTTTAATTTAGCAATATAGAAAAAAACATCTTTTCAAATCTTAAAAAAGAAATCAGCATCCAATTTATTGGCCTGCAAAATTTAGTTTAAGTCCTTCTCATGTTCAGGACTACTACTTAGTTAAAAAAAAAAAAAACTCAACTTGGTGCTTAAAATTTGAAATATTTTTTTACATTATCAAGATTAGTAGTAGTCATCATAACTTGCTAAATAACATATTTACATGTCTTATTTGTATATATTTAAAATGATTTTTTTTGGCCAAAATATTTAAAATGAATTTATTTGTTTCCAATCATATAAAGTTTAAACAAATCATGGATCATCTTCCTTTTTTTTTTTTTTGTTTTTTTGGTTCTTTAGCCACTCATCTAACTCTTCCGCTTATTGTATGTTTCTCTCCAGCAACAGATAAATTAAGGGTATTTTAGTAAAACGTTATTACATTTTTCCATAAGTTAGGTAATCTAATCAAAATCATGAAGTGAAAAACATTTAGAAATTGACGTAATCCCCAAAAAAAGGGTTATAATTAGTGGGAAAGAGCAAGTGGATGCCACAATAACAATATTATATTACGCCCGATATTGAGTAATTATTAATACTTGAACCTTAAAATTGAATTATTCCTCTCACGATGTCTTACTCGATCAAATCGAATTGATGAATATTGAAAACTGGTCCACGGAAATGAAGTAAAAAATAATCAAAGTGATTAATTTATACTCAATGCCCTCCAGTATATAGGATACGTTTAACTACTTTAGAGGGAGTAAGAAAAGTAGTTCAAAATAATGTGTATCACTAAAATGTTCTCCAAATTAAAATTAATACTCTCTCCATCCCAATTCTCAAATTATAAGATAATTTAATATAAGATTACTCATACTAATAAAATTAAATAATGATAATTTACCAATTTATTTTGTAAGATAAAAATATAAACTTTTAAAAATGTCACTTCATTTAATATAACTTTAAATTTATACACTTAATTATTACACTACAATTATTTTAATTCTCTCATTAATAAAACCCTATTTATCAAATTGTCTAATATTTTGAGACGATAAAATACTTATAAAGTTGCCTTATGATGTGGAATGGAGAAAGTACTCTTTCCATCCATATATATAAAATATTTCTAATTGAATCTTGTAAATTAATAAAAGTTTGTTATTTAATAGAAATAACATTAAATCATAATAATTTTTTAATTTTGCCTCCCATAATGTCAATTAATATCATAAAAGTCGTGGGTAAAGCACCCAATTAATATCTCTTTTCTTTTTTCTAGACAAGCTAAGAGCAAAACTATTTGATTACTTGAAAGTATTATGACACTCCTTATATTTAAAAATAAAATAAGCTTTTAGAAAACACCTATATATAGAGATAGAGAAAGTATATCTTAATTACCTTTGATTTTTTTCTTATATAATATTATCTACAATACAGTTAGTAAAGACATATTTCTTTTATCCTAAATTATAAGACATTATTGTACAAATTTCACATATCAATAAATTTTATTAAATATATTTAATAACCTTATTTTTTCAAAAAAAATTAAAAATGTCTTTCATTTAATATATTAAAAACAGAGAATGAAAGAAATTAAATAAAGAAAGAAAATGTAATATTAAAATAATCCCATTTAATGAAGACTAAAATGCATAAAACTTTCCTGAACTTTGAAACAGTTGTATATGACTCCTATCTTTAAACGTTTAAAATTAACTCTCTTAACTTTTAATTTTATTGTTGAGTGAACCACGGATGACATGGTACATCATATCCTTCCAAAAAATTTTCATACATTTTAGACCAATACTAACATGTAAAGAATATCTTATATCTTGAAAAGTGAGTTCATATTCTAGCTACATTATTTTCAACATCAAGAAGATAATTAATGAAACTTAACAAACTAGTCCTAATGATTTTGGGGCTTGTATGATGGGGTAGTCCAAAATCATGATGGAATTACCCAAATTGTCAACTATTGAATGTGTCTTGGTATAGACTCCATCATTCTCAGATAGAGATAATAATACAGTTGCAGATCATGGAGCAATTTTAAATACAATTAGGGACCTTTAAATTTTGCTAATGACAAGGCAAAGATTTTGACCAGTAAATTTGGTACTTTGAATGAAAATTCCAATGGTTCGTCTCCTAATTTTTTCTCAAAGAAAGTTTTAAAGTTTAGGTCCCAAATTGAAAAATTCTTAAGTTAGTCCAGTCCACCACATTGTTTATGATCCATGTAATAAAAACGTGCATTCAGAAGATATTAAATATAAATTAATTTTGATATTAATAATAATATAGAGAAAAGATAAGAAATTAAATAAACATCCTGTTATAAAAATAAAATTATTAAAAATAATGACATATAATATTTTATTTAATTAAATATATGTAATTTTATTTAATTGATTATAAATAATGTGGTGTATTTGGTATATGTAAAAATCTATAGTCCCAAACTTGCTTGGATCTAAAATTGCTGCATGGCAAGCGGATGTGATCTGTGTCTTGAGATAATCACCATGAGGATTGAGGACCTTAACATTAATGCCGCTCTGGGGGGCCACTCAATGTTGATGTTCTGTTCACTAGCGTCTCATTCTTGAATTGCACGTTACTCACACGCCGCCGGCACGCTAAAACAAATCTCTCTTTCTCCCCGTCAATTTGTTAATTTAACTTAATACTCTCCAAATTATATAAATTTTAATGTATTAATAATATATTTTATTCCATTGATCAGTATTTTAAAAAACTTAAAGATATTATATCATCTTATACAGACTAATTCAAACCTCCGCGAGAATGTTACTACCAGCGGCAAGATGTATTAATAATATTAATAATAAAAGCTTATCAATAATTAGTAGTTATGTTCTTAAAATTGTTTAAAAAAATGTAATGTTCTAAGTTTTCCCTTCATTTCAATTAATAACTATATTAATTTTTTGTCTAGGAATTCAAACCATAATAAAAAATAAGGGGTAAAATTAGAAAAAAAATTAATTATTCTAACTTTGATTTATATTCATAATCAAAATTTTTTTTAGGAAGTTTTCCTTATATTAAAGATTGGAAGAAGTAAATATTATATAAAAGATTCACATGTTTTAATTTAAATAAAAATAAGTATTTTAAATATATAAAGCTAAATATATTTACAATTTTCCCATTCTGTAAAAAAATGTTTCTTGATTTTAAGAAATATCTTTCCATTTTTATTCTCAGATTGATTAATGTATACTGAGTAAATATGCATGGAAAGTTATAGGTCTTAATTGTAGAAAAGGATAAAACTGGAAAAATGAATCAATTTTTTATGAGAATTAGAAAAATATATTAAATTTACTTACATGTTAGGACTGTCTTACATTATTGATTGGATCCGAGGATATAGTGCCCCCCATGAGGGTGTTTGGAACTTTGGATAAAAACGTTATTAGGTTATCTATTTTTTTGTATGTGCAGAAATTATTTTAAAAAAAAACTCCCAGAGTGAAAGACATTGCAAAATGAAAAGGTATGTGACTTGAACTGCTGAAATTAAATTTCACAACACATTATAAAAACTAAAGTAAGAATTAAATTGTAAGATCTTGATTGCATGAATTTCAATTAAGTGGTCAAGATAAAATATAGAGCCAGGAATAGACGCCCATTTAAATCTCTGTAAACAAGAGATGACCGACCAAAATGAAATACAAAAGAGATGTGCTTGTACAATCTTGGAAAAGAATAGGAAGTCGGTGACTGGCACAGGTGAGTACAATGTTGTATCCTTAAAAACTTTTTTGCAAGATTTCAGACATGATTATGATTGTAAATGGGAGTGATTCCTTAAATATTCCCAGATATCGATGAGGACAATGTATAGAACTTAGAAGAATCACATGGACTTGTAACTTCATGGTTACAGATAAACAGATCAGATAAAATAGGCACAGTTCAGAGGACTCGAAGATTCTATCGCTCTTCACTACAAGGACAAGAAGTTTGTCTGAGTATATTTGCTCTTGGGAGAATAACAACAAACAACTTCATTAAAAAAAAATGTTAATATCAAATAAGGATTTCATTATAATTTGACACAAGCCCCCAAAACATGATGAACTATCTCCATCTCCACTCAGAATGAATTCGTTCATTTTGGGACAACAAAAATCTCAAGCTTGATGGAATCCACTTTTGAAGCTAAATGATTTAGACTTGATATTAATGGCTCCACTAGTTTTAATAATGTTGTAGCTTGCAGTGGTATCATTTATAATAATAAAGAGATCTAGCTAAACAGCTTCTCTAAATACATAAGTTACTATCCTAACACAATATTATAACTCCTATAAATATTGAATGGCCTTGCCCTCTATTGGGATATCAAATATGTACCTTGGAAACTCTTGCCTTCGTTCTCTCCTTAAATCACCCACTCTACCTTGTAATTAAAAAATTAGAAACCTCTCCATATAAAGCAAGAGTGTCACTTTTGATCATGCTTTTAGAGAGATTAATAAATTTGTTGATTGGCTCATTCATCAAGCATCATGCAACTCTTTTGACAGCATTAGTTTCAATGATTCACCTTTAATAGCATAGAACCTTGCTTAGCTCTAAAATGACATAATTTATTGTTTTCTTGTATATAATCTTTCCATGACCTTCTATTAAAAGAACTAATTTCTTACAATTCAATACTAAAAATATTTTTAAAAAATTAATTTAATATTAACCTTCTTATGATGTGTTTAATTGTCACGCTCTGTTTTCTTTTCTTGGCCACCTGTGGGTATATGAGTGAAAGATATTGTATCACCACTCTCATATGAATTATATAGTCTCAGTGCATCATGGCAGGCTCTTTATAAGAAATAAATGAGGGGTTCTCCCCCACCCCCTCCTTCTGAAGTATAAAAACCAACTACCCATAAAATTGAACAATGAGAGCATCAAAAAGTGTGGCGTGGAAACTGATTTTTAATTTGTAAAAATTGATGTCGTTGGGTTATCATTTAAAGGCATCGCTTTAATTCAGATAAACATGTTGAAACTTTGATGCTAATTCCAACAGAAATGGAGAAATGCAACAAAATATACCAGTAAAGTTCTTTACTTGATTATGTACCCAAAAAAAAAAAGTTCTTTGCTTGATTTCCATTTCATTTTAACCTATTAGTTTTTAATCATATTTTGATAACATTTAATTAAGACTTTAGGTGATCTCGTGTTATTGAGAAATTCATTATTCTTACTAAACTTTTGTCCATTAAATATGGATTAAAATAAATTTTTTATTCTTTAATTTTATATAAAATTTTATTTTAATTCTTTTAATTTTATAAAATATAATTTCAATTCTTTAACCCCAACTTTAGGCTGTACTCAAAATTCTTTAAGGCGGCATGCCCACGTGCTTACAATTACACGTATGACGATGGGATAGAGTATTTGAATATTGATGCAATTTGATGGAGCCAAGGATGGAGAAATACGTGGAGGCGGTGGACATGTTGGGGGCTGCACTGGAAAAACGAATTATAAGCCAGAGTGCAGGTTGACATTTTTTACGAGTTGAGTTAGGTTGGATTAACTCAAATAAATTAAAAAACTTAATCCAATCCAATCTAATTTATTTATTAGCAAAAATTTATTAATTTTTTTTATAATTTAAAATTTATATAATATAAATATATTTATTTATTTATTTTACATTTTAAGGAAAATTAGCAATTAAAAAACTTTTAAATGAATAAAATAAATAAAAAATTTAACCAATCAAATTCATTTTGTTAGATTTTTATTATTAATCATCTTCTTATTTAGGTGTATTATTTTTCTTATTGAGAAAAAAATTTGAATATAAACCCATATTATTTTTTCTAATATATTCATATTTATGATTTCAATTAATAGATCTCATAAAATTAATAATATATATATATTTAAAATATTTTTATAAAAATTAATAAATTATCGATTTACAAACTATAATAAAAAATTTATTTGTAAATTGTAAAAAAATTTATATTATATTTTAAATGTAAAGAATATATTTGAGAGTCATAAATTATATATTTGAGAAATACTATCATTATTGTAAATTTATAAAAAAAAATATAATATAATTAAAAATAAAAAATTATTTTTAAAAAAATGTGCTAGACTGCAGGCTAGCTCGTTTTAGTTTATTAGTTTTGTGAATTAGGTTAGTTTAACTCATTTCAACTTTTTTTTTTTTTATTTACTCTAATTGGGGGCTCTGAGAGCGAGAGTGGAGAAGGAGAGAAGGAGGGAGAGAGGATAATCAAGTGATGATGGGCTTCACTGGATAAAAAGTAACGGAAGTTTGTCTCATGTTAATGGTACGAGAAAATTGCTCAAAATTTAATTATTTAAAATTTAAAACATATCAAATATAATTTTAAAATTTAAATCACACTTAAACTTATAATTTAAAATTTAAATTAATATTTAATCCTAAATTTTATATTTTGTATTGAGATTAAAATTGATACTCACTAATCTGTGAGATTTAAATTAAATATTATATATCACACAATATTTTATTTATATCATAATATTATAAGAAGATATAGAACCTGAGTGACGTTAAAATAAAAAAAAAAGTTAATGATTTATAAAAAGACAGAGGGAGAGGGAGAGAAAAGTTGACGAAAAATGATCTTTATTTTCCATTGGAAACAGTAAAAGGCAAAGGCAGAGGGAAGCCCCACGACTCGCACGCCATTTTCTCTTCTACCTTTTTTCTTTTTCTGCTTTTTCGTATTCCCCTGATTATTGATGACCCATCTCTTTCTAAATGTCCATATAATTATCTTTAAGAGACTTTTGCACATGTAACTTATATTACAGGATCAAAATAAATAAACAATTTAATATTTATTATATTTTATATTATAAATAATTTATTATATTTATTAATGATTCACTCTTGTATATTAATAATAAATTCATTGTAAATTTTTAATAATAAATTTCTTATATATTAATATGAATTGGTTATATTCTTAAATTTTTAAAAATTTGATTCATATTTTTTTGATACAAGATTTTTTTATGCCAATGAGCTAATCTATCCTTATCTTAACTGCAGTTATCATCACAAAGATTAACATTTCATTATATGAGATTGAACAATCACTTTAGATCACATTTTTGAAGTAGCAAACAAAAATATGTATTGGTTAACTCATCAAATTTCAAACAAGAAACTTGATATAATGATTTTTCACAGACCACTTTTGAAGTATAGAAACCTTTCGAGCTCATACATGATTTGATTTTGTTAATTCTTTTTATGTTTTTTCCATCACAATGTATTTCCCCCCCTCCCAAAAAAAAAAGCTCCAGAACGTCTAAACTTGATTAGAGCAACAAAGTAGCCATTACCATAGAGATCCAATTGGACCAAAAAATTCTGCTACCTCCAACCACAACAAACGAACCAACACAAATACCAATTACTAAATAAAGAGGCATTGTACGAACAAATTGATATCAACAACAATAAACCTTATTTTATTTGGTAAAATTGAATATATGAATTACATGATATTATTATACTTTATCAACAACCAACATAAAATTTGGTTGACATTAATATCATCAATATAAAATTTATTTTTCTTTCACAAGCTTCAAATCCACTTCTTTATTCCTTAGATCTATCTTTTTTTTTTTAACTGTTCAGATCAACCAAATTTACGCAAGTCATCGTGTGTGTGTGTGTGTGTGAGAGAGAGAGAGAGAGAGAGTATTTACATCAGTCATATTTTTACACTGGCCAAAACAATTATTATTTTCTGACATCATCTAAGGACTAAGGTTTCTGTTTATAACTCTGAAACAGGAGATGAAAGTAACAGAGGTGAGGAGCACAAAAGCCATTTGACACAAGGTCGGGTCAAAAGCTTCAATGCCATGATCCTACCACCAGAAACTAGAACATTCTGGACCCATTATTGTCATACCACAAGGAACAAGCATCTTCATTTTTCCTCATCTTCCACCACAATGGGATCTTCATGATTATCCACTCGATTATTTCATTCTTCCAAGTGCGCCTCTTCCAACATCCAAGTATAAAAGTTCCCGAAAATTTGTTAACTTGTTCGAAAAATCAAGAGCTCCAGAACCATCATTTGCTCTTGCCATGGCCAACCAGCAATCATTCTTTACAGGAGTGTTCTCTCTGCAGATACAAGGTGAACATAAAAACGGTAAGTGCAACAAGAAAAACATAAATTGCATATTTAAGGAAGCTCCATCTTTGACATGAAGCGAGGTTTAATAAATAGAATTTTAAATGAACAAAACCATAGATGTATTTTCATTCATATTGGCAACTGATTTGAGTTTGAGTGAGTGGTCATGTTTCAGTTGATTGTTAGCCACTGCTTCCTGAGTAAAACGTTCAGAAAACTATGAGGATGAGAAGTCAGGTAAGCAATTAGATACCAGTGAAGATGAGAAATATCAGCATTGTTCTTGATCTGTGACAATAGCTTGCTACATTTTAGTATTTTATACTGAGATGTTCGCAAGACTTGACAGAACAAGGATCAGTGCTGCATTTTCTCAGTGGAGAAAAAAGAAAGAAGAGGCATCAACAATAAATGATTCAAGGATCAGTGATTTGCTCATGAAGCTAATTTGAAAAAGATTAGCATTAGAATGGCAACATCATACCTGCATTCCATTCTCAAGGCAGCCTTCAGGGCACATCTCCATTTGAGCATAGCCTGATACACTTGACCTGACAACTTCACCCAGGTCAAGCATGTACAGGCCCAAATTCGTTGTCTACATTCCTTGCAGTGGGAAATATATGAATCTAAATAAAGCATCATTATTGTTATGATGGGCGCCATCATACTTATTACTTAATGTTTGCCACAGAGCAACTATGAGAGATCCTTCAATAGTTCAATAAAGGGCATCCCCTGCCAACTGATTCATCTTCAATACAGGAAACTGCATCACAGAGAAAAACCTTTCAACATTGACCCATAAGAACTAGCAGTAACAGCACATGAGAACCAACTACAAAGAATCAAAACATATTCTATCAGTATTAAGGAGATTAGATGAATGACCAAATCCAAATGTGTATGAATGGTATATGTGAAGGCCTACTAAAGAATATGGTATATCAACAATGTAAAATGATAAAGGAAAAATACCATATATGTTACCATTTGAGCTTCAACCAACAATTAACTAGACGAATGTGTCCCATTCTGTGGCATCATACACCCACGCTCAACAAATCTTAACATGAGGTTATCAGCCTCCACCAACATACGATCCGCTGTCAATTTCTTGCTCACTTTCTCACACAACTTAAGGTCAGGAATCAAATTGCGGCTAAACATTCTACTAGCCACCTTGTATGCTGACAGAGCCATCCCCTTAGTCAGATAGCTTTCCATCAGAACATGGCATGTATTAGCGTCAAGTTTTGAAGCTGTTCTCAAAACCTTCCCTAAAAGTTTATCAGCTTCCTCAAGGTTCCCGAAATCACAGAGCTTCTCAATAACCTGATTGTATGCCGTTCTGAACGTTTGCCTGGCAAGCATTTTATCCAATAATTTCAACAAATCCTCCACTCTACCCCATTGACAGCACCGGTGAATGACCGTCCTATATGTTACAGGAGTAGGAACCAAACCTTTGTTAAGCATTTTCATCATTAGTTCAGATGCCTCTTCCAATCTACCTTTCTTCCCAAATGCATCAAATAGTGTCGTATATGTGACTGCATCAGGATGTTTGTTGCTTAAATACATGTCATCAAGCACAGACAAAGCAGCATCCAAGTCGCCCATCTGACAAAAACCATTAATCACAGTGGTAAAGTTGACAACATTAATGGCACAGCCCTTATTCAGGCATTCTTCCATAAATTTTTTAGCCTCAGTTATTTTGCCATCTTGACATAGAGACTGAAGAAGCAAGTTAATTTCAACTGGTGTCGGGAAAAAACCCCTTTTAACCATTTCCCTGACCAGATCACAGGCCTCAGATAATTTCCCCTCCCTACGCAGCCCATGCATGACAACACTATACGTGACAGCATTTGGGCTCCACCAATGTTCCTCACTTGCATTTATCATATCTCTTGCCTCAACTGACTTTCCACTGTGACAGAGGCCATTCAACAGAGCTGTATAAGACACAGCATTAGGCTTACACCCATGTTTGTACATCTGTTGCAGCATCCTTTTAGCTTCATCTACATTTTCCATGCGACAAAATCCATCAATAATAGCAGTATATGTCACTACATCAGGTATACAACCCTGTACATACATATTGTTCACTAAATTCTTTGCCTCACCCATCCTGCCCTTCTTGCAAAAAGAGTCAACTATTGCACTATACTCAACCTTATCAATGCGAAAACCTTTCTCTTCTGCTTCCTTTAAAAAAGCAAGAGCATCATCCGCATGTCCATGCTTTGAAAGTACATGGATAAGAGTATTATATGTGACCTGATCAGGTATCAATTTACTGTCCCTAACCATATTCTCCAGTAACTGCTTCAGTTCTTCAATTCTTTTCTCCTTACAGAGGAAAGCCATCACAGTATAGTAACTAACTTTATCAGGCATACATCCCTTAGATGGCATTTCAGCAATAAGCTCCAACGCATCCTCAATTTTATTTAAATCACAGAACCCCTTAATCAAGCAGTTATAAGTAACGACGTTGGGTTTGATTCCTATTAGTTGCATTCTTTCCGAGAACCTCAGTGCCTTTTTCAGTTTGTTCCCCTTCACCAAGACATAGATGGCAGTGTTACATATCGATAAATTAGGGTCAACACCAGATTTCTGCATCAAGGTCAAAATTCGAAGGGCATTTCTTAACTTGCCTGCTCGACTATATGATACCATCACATAACCAAAAGCTTCAGGCGCGCATTCAATTCCCCTGCGAGTCATTAAACGAAGAACTCGCCTAGCACCTTGACACAATTTAGTCTTGCTAAGAACTTCCAGCATAGTATAGTAGACAATAATGTTATGCCGATAACGCCATTGCCGATCAGCCCAATAGAAAAAATTCAAAGCAACACGTTCATCATCTTGGGAGCGTAAAACAGCACAAACTTGAGGGGGCTTGAGGCTTCTTAATAAATGCCTCAATTCTCCTTCCAGTTTTGGGTCCCAAGTGGACCTCAGTGTAATTAACCTACAAACCTCTCTAACTAAAGGGTGTCTAAATTCAGTCTCGCTAATTTCAAATTTCCTAACGTCTACTATCTGTTTGCGACTGCCTTGAAAGGTGCTAAGAACCTCAAGACTATCATCATCACTACCATGCTCTCCTTCAACTTCATCTTTATCGTCATCTTCTTCAAGTACTTCTTCATCTTGGTAGAGCTCACGTGACTCAACCTTGTTAAGACACCCCAAATTGAAGGGAATACAAGTGTCATCGCTAGCACTTCCTGTAAAACGTAATTCCCCAGGATCCACGGAACCCATCCTCCCTGAACCATCATACCCATTATTGATATTGTTGGCTTTACATTCCCCCTCGCTTGGAGGACCAAAATTAGTAGTTGAGAATACACAGAGTCTAATAAAACATACAGGCTTTCCGCAAAAATGACTGAAGCATCTATAAGCAGATACCTTTATCAGTTGACAATTCATCCCCAGTACCATTGCTGCAGGAATAATGCTAACAGAAATCAACACAGATAAACGGGCTAATCAGAAAGAACACTCAACGTCTCTGAAGCGCGTTCCGTTTCCTCCGAGTCATTCTTATCGCAAACTGCCCTCTCCCTCTTCTTCTTCGTCTCCATCGCCATCGCGAGGCGGGCTGAGTATCGTGGGTGAGTGAAATTGGAGTGGTTGGACTCTGGAGAATTCGGTTCGGAAATGCAGAGAGATGCCGGGCGCTTGGATTTTGTTCTTGGACTAGCCACTGGGCCTTTGGATTGAGTGAACTGTTCTGCAGAGAAGAGGTGCGAGTACAACCACGGCATTTTTGTTACATATTACTACTAGGTAAATTAAATTAAATTGGCGATTTAAAATTTACGGTAAATTAAAATAAGCTATGAATAATAAGGCTTATTTTGCCGAATTCCTTGTGATTCAATGATGCTATGCTCACTCTTTGTGATGCAATTCTCGAGTTGGATCTCATTAGCAAGTAGTTTTACTTGCCCACTCAAAAAAAAAAAAAAACGTTTTTTGGTATTGGAAGATTCATCTTATTCATTTTTAGTTTATTGTGTACAAATAACCTCCCCTCTTTGAATGTAATAATGTCCGACAGTTGAATATTAAATGTGGGATATCTGTTGTAATGGAAATTCAAGTATTGATTCATAATGTTATAAGAAATTAATTCTTTTTACTAAAATCAACCTTTAAATATGGACGAAGATACATGTAAGAGGGAAGGAAACAAATTAGTGAAACTGACAAGGTTAAGCAGATACAGTGGTGTAAAATCTATTTCTCTATTTTTTTTTTGATTGGGTACAACATTTTTTTTTATTGAAGGCAATACTATTCAAGATATAACTAGACATTAAATATGCACATCTCTCTGAGCAAGATTCAAATATTAATTTATTAAATTATAAGGGATTAGCCTATTTCGTTAAATTTAATCCTGTTAGCATACCTCTCTCTCAATCTCTCTGTGGGAAAACTATTGGATGCAAAGTTGCAAACTCTTATTAGGGAGCCCAACAAGAGGAGCCCAGAAATATGAGCTGTGGATAACGGATCCTTTTAAATTAGGCTCACTCTGGATCCCTCTGAAGTATTCACTGGTATAAGTGTAGCGGATTTTGAAAAGTTAAGGGGAAAAAATAGAAATAAAATGTACTAAGGTGCATAATTAAATAAAAATTATTGGCAATATTAGTAATACAGGGTATTTAACAAAACATTTAATTAAAGGTACAAATAAAAGCGCAATTTTTCTAAGGGGGAACATAGGAAAGGATGTTATTAGTGGACAATGGGGCATTTGTTCTGGCCAAAAATTTAAAAAAAAAAAATAGGGGTCATTGAAGTTTGAAGAAATTACAATTCAAAAAAATGAAGACAATAGGAAAATTATTTAACCCGTCATAGGAAGCTACGCAGTGCCTATACAAATACTTGTATGATATCAAATACAACACCGCCTGATGTTTAAAAAACAATAATATTTATAATTTAAAATATATGAATCCTTCATAAAGAATATAGCCACTTCGAATGTAAAGAAAACAATTTTCCATTATTCTTTCATCTGTAATGATAATCAACAAGAGTCAAAGACAGTCTTTATAACATGTTAGATTATACTTGCCTAAATCAGTCTTCACATATATGATTAAATATATGTTGCTCTTTCTAAAATTAGAGCATTGAAAAATTGAAGATTCTTGTACACGATAAAGATAACTTGTCAAGGAAGAATGTTGTGTACAAAGAGATATTCAACGATTTAAATATATCAGTAGGCGTTGCTTGATAGCATGCAATGATCAGTTTGGCACAGCATTTATTTCCATCTTCTGTATTGTTAGTGTTTATGTATATTCATGTTACAGTTGTTCACTTCATTGCTATTTTATGTACAAGACATGTCAAGCTAACCAATTAATGTTATTGTTTGTCCATGTTGTGAAATGAATTTAGTTAAATTCAAATATTAATTACTTTTTTTAATGCTTCCAGTACATCACACGGAAAGTAAATGCTAGTTTAATTTAATAAAGATTATATGAGCTAAAAGAAACATAAATTTACAACCTAAAAGTTATGAATTAAGACATGGTGTATAATTATTCATATTTCCTCACCTTCTTTTTAGATGATGTTGATCGATTTCTCAACATAATATGAATGCATGATAGTAGAAAGCAACATAATGAAAGCAACGTTTTGGAGGGAATGGGCTTGAGGGTGAGATGGTAAGAGGAAGACAATATTGTGGCCACTAGGCTACTGATTCTGAAGTGCACTTAATCTGCCGGGCCGCCTGTTGGTATCCACGCGGCTTCAGAAGCTTTGCCTTTTTGTAAGTACACATTATTTGCCTTTTCTTCTGACTTTACCTGATTTTGTTACCACACAATATTTGCACATGCACTCGCCAGCTAAACAAATCAATGAAATTTTTACAGTAACAGCCATATAATATATACACCTCCCTGACCCAACAAAAAAATTCTAGCATAATTGGGGTGCCGTTGTCAATTTTGTTTTCTTTAATACTCGTTCGACATTTAATATAAATATTTTTAAAGAAAAAACTAGTTTATGACCCATATTTTTATGTTTGGAATCTTGATATTTAAATCGCTTACATGAAGTTTAAATATTCTATATTTTTTATTTTGATAGTTATAAGTGTTTTTTCCTTTGCTATTAAGTGTTTTCACATAAAGATAAATACTAAAATAAATCATGTCTATTTTTGGGTCTCACATAGTATGGGTTTGGATTAGTTTAAGCAGGAGGTAATAATATTTCAAATTTTCTAAAATATCAAGCAATGGAATAAGAAAAAAACTAAATCATTTCTATTTCTAAATGGAGTATTTGACCAACAAGTATTGCTGTGAAAAGGATTATAGTCATTTAAACACAAGATTTTAACTTCATATAAATACTAAAAATATTTTTGAGAGAATTACTCTCAATTGGCTCAGGTAATACTTGACTTTGACTTAATCAATCACTTATATAATAAAAAAAACAAAGTATTTGACTTCTCCCATTAATTAAAATGGCGTTTGTCATGTCAGAATTAGTTTCGCAAATTTAACAATGTTTGAATACGAGTCAATAGACCATGAAATCGTACAAACAAACCACACTAACGAAGTCACTTGGGAAGTGGTTGTGTAATTATGATTGTGCAGTTAAGTCTCAGAAGCGCCATTAATCAAAGTGGGCAATGAAATTGGCAATGATCTCAACACATGGAATTGCTTGGTTTCTTGAAGCATTAATAATGTATAATAGAATCAAGTGCCGCACCCTCGAGGGCACTTCTAGCACTGCGCCTTTGTGGTCTCTATACCCTTTCAAAAGTATCCTCGTTATTATTTCCATTAAAAGACGAGCCACCTTGCTTTGATTTATATTCCAAAATTCTCCTTTTGCTGACTAGCCACATTAACTAATCCCCCATCAGGAAAGTTGATTAAATCTGTATTATAAAATATACTCCTTAAGACATGTTAATTGGAACTGCCCTTGTTAAAAACTGTGCTTGTATATATGCAGTGTATGCGTACAATGACATTTCCTTGTATTTATATTCTTAAATTTTTAATAAACAGTGATACATAAAAAAAATTAAAAACTATACCAAAAAAGTGGTCTCAAGTTGTAAGCATATTATACTTAACTAGCATAATATTTTTATTCTAGATGAATAAAAATACAAATAAACGTTCAATTGTAATTGTTATTGTTATTGGTATAATACATAAATAAACAACACTACTACTATCACATTACATTAAAAATTGTCGCTAGAGGAGCTTCATACCTGTGTGAGCTGGCCCGACTTTATCAAGATCGGGGTGTTCGTATAAGTCTTGTTTTCACTGCCTTATATCTATTCCCGATCACGTCGGGTCGGATATATCCCAACTTTTTTTTTTTAAAAAAAAACCCAGATTGAACATAATAAGACAAGACAAAATTATACTTAGGATGGGACGAGACAAGGTGAGTTCAGTTCCGAGATGCTGTGTTACCACATCCCAAATAGGTAACACAATATATATATATATATATATATATTTTATAGAAAACATGTGTCCTTCAATTATTGTAATTCAGTAATTAAATTTAAGATGTGTACTTTGCGGGTTTATATGTTAGTTTCGCATGAAAAAAGTTTACTTAATTGCTTTTTTTTTCCGGCCAACAAGTTTACTTAATTACTTAGAATTTGAAAATGTAGATATTGATCTTAGTCACTTAATTTTTACTTCTCCAAGTCTCTCTTACATTTTTTATCTCTTTTACCAAGATTTTCTGATTTCATCCCAACTTCATATATGATAAGACATAAGATAAAGTTTTATTTTCATTCATTTTTTGGGTCGGGATGTAGAATATAGAGCTACCGAGGTCTCGTTTCGTTCCACGAATATCCTTATGCTCAATATGATCACTAGAAGCACCATTACTACCTACAAAAATAAATTAAAATATTCAAATCAAATTTAAAGAATGGTGCACATCCTTTGAGAAATACAACCAATCCAAACAAAAAAATTTAACATAAAAAATACAAATGGCTCCATAGAATTTATTCCATGTTCAATCTAATATACTGGATTTATCTGTAAAACTCAGTTATTACAAGATATACTATCACGCCAGTAGTAAACCTTGGTTTCAAAAGTTGTCATTAAAATGTCAATGACTCAATCCAAACCTAGCAAACATCCACAGTGATTGACAAGATGAGATAAGCAAAATCATAAATAAAGAAGCAAACTTTCCAACTAAACTGCCAACGTTTTCAAAGATGGGAAAAAATATAAATAAATGCAACCAACCATGCTGGCCCATTAAGCATCATTATTTGACTACACCAAGTACTTGAGTTTGAATACACTCTCCTTAATTATAATAAAATATCAATCAGAACAAAACTTTAAAAATGTGATAATCACTCGTCAGAGACTCTGCCTTAACTAATTCTTATAAAGGGTTTAAAAATGTAAATGATCAAAATTAGCATTGATGATAATCTTTTCCATTTTTGCATGTGTAAGGCTACTGTAACTAATTTGAATTGCAGCGATTGATAATCTTGTAATTGTAAATGTTATGATTGACACCTTTAAAGATACGCTAGCAACAATCGTTTTAGATTTCCTGGGTGAGTTTAAAGGGTTCAATACTTGTTGAAAAGTTGATAATTTTTTTGAAAAATAAAAAAACAAATTTAACTAATTTTTTGAATA